TCTCACCCACAAAAGCATAGATGACTGGGTTGAGGCAGCAGTGGACATAGGAGAGTGCCTCAGTCAGCTCCACAGCTAGGTCTAGCCTTTGGCTTGTCTGGCAGTCATTGATGATGTGCATGTTCTTCAGAGAGTCCAAAAACAGCACAATGTTGACGGGGGTCCAGGAGAGAAAGAACAAAATGACAACAGTAAAAACCAGTTTTATTGCTTTGTACTTGTTCTTGGTATGGCACTTCTGCAGGTTTTTCAAGATGTTGTGATAGCAGAAAATGAGGACAACAACAGGGATTAGCCACCCCAGAATGTTGACTTCAAAATTACTGAAAGTCTTCCAGCCATTGTTGCCACTAGGATAATGAGGGAGGCACTTAATCTGGTTATTGTCATTTACTTCCTGGAAAAAAAGTAAGTCTGGTAATGATGCTAAAATGGCAACTACCCAAACAACCAGACTGGTGATAAACCCAATGGCAGTTGTCCGAATCCCTTGCACATGGAGGGAGTGGACTATGGCCAAGTACCTGTCGATGCTCATGATGGTTATGAAGAAGACATTGCTGTAGAAACCAATGAAGTAAACTGAGCTGATGATTTTACACAGTGCATTTCCAAAAGTCCACTGGCTTACAATGGAGTACTGAACCAAGAACGGCAGAGAGAATACCAAGAGGAGGTCAGAGAGAGTCAGATTCAGCAGATACATGTCAGTCATGGTCTTGATTTTCATGTAGACTGTCAGTACCCAAACAACCAAAGCATTTCCCACAAGGCCGGTCACAAACAGTATGGAGTACAGCACTGGAAATAAGGTAGATGCAAATTCTGGAATACCTTCAGGATGACAGATGATGTGTAGTTCAGAGTAGTCAAAGGCATATTCATAGGCTGCAGAGTAGTTTGGTGTTGGTGAGGTGTAACTCATCTGTTCAAGGACAATGAAATTCACATGAGCCAAATCCCACATTAGTAGATATACCAGGCAAGAGTCAGCTCACACCAAGCTTCATGAGGACAAAATAGATGCCACAGCTGTGGTATAAGATGAAATGAGGAATGAACATGAATAGCTGGCCATCCCCTGCAAGACCCAGGACAAGATCCTTGCATCACAGGGGCAGAAGAGATCAAGGAGAATGCAACTGTGGTGGTAGAGGTTACCAGCATCCTCCTGCTGACTCCGTGTGGGGCCATGGCCCATGTCCGAGTCCAGGTGGGGTACTGAGGCCAGAGACAGGGGGCATCCTTAAACTAGCAACGACATGGGCATGGCCAGGAGGCTGAGTGCCCCTGATATGGGTTTTGGGGTCCTATTTTATGTTTCCTTCTTAAAGGAGAAGGGAGCATAACCCAGGGAGAAACTGACATGTTAACACTCATCTCCTAAAAGTTTTGTTTCCAGTTAGCTGAGTGCCAGAAATGGGATGCACCAGCAGCAGTGACATGCCCCCTTCCTGCTCACCAGCCCCTTGCAGCTTGCCCACTCCCCAGCAGCAGCCACCACATCCCTAGGCAGTACTTGTGACAGGAAACAATTAAAGAAGATGGACAGCAGCATCACTGTCAGGATGTCCTCCATAAGACACTCCTAGCACTACTTCTGCCCTCAAGGACATTCTTCTTCCACAAGCAAAATGTCATTAGCTAAAAATATTTTCACCCTGTGTTTTGGTTTCTTTCCAGAGAACAACGATCACACTGATTTATTTTAAATGTCCATCATCTCCACCAGTACCGTGTCTCCATAGGAAAAACTGAACCTCTAAGATGTGCTACTGACCCCAGCTTGCAGGACAGCAACTCGGCAGGGAGTGACTCACCAACATGTCCTCAGAGCCACTGCTTCCCAGCAGGTCTGTCAAATTCTGCTCCATAATCCAAGTGTCTGAAAGAGTGCAAAAAAAAAAACCAAAAAACAACTGTCTTTATATAATGCATTTAAAGAAGCAGGCATACCTTTGTGTATATAGGCTGGCAATATTTACTTTATCTTATGTTGCAATGCCAAGTCGCAGATAAAGTCCTTACTGTAGCAGTGCACAGTTCCAGAATAGCTTTTCCTCTGTGTGACCTGTGTTACATTAAAGATGTATGAAACCCCAAAGCAGTGAGTTCAGCCTCTGTACTTAACACCTACAGGACGGAAATGTCAGCTTTATCTTATGTATGACCACAAACTTTTCATTCTGAGCACTTACATTCTCCAGTGGAAGAGATTTGCAATCTTCTCCACTTCTTTGAAGTGTTTCTCTCTCCCACCTGCATGCCCTGCACCTGCTGTCCCTCTCTGCAGTTCCGATACCTAGGAGAGAGGAAGTAGCGCTGTCTCTGCCCTGCTCCAAGGACTTTTGGTGAAGATGGCTGAGGGGGATGGTCCAATGCTGCCAATAGCCAGCAATGGCAAAGGGCCACGTATTTGCTTTAACATTTCATTTTTCCTTGGAAGGCACCTTCCCCCCGCACCCTCCTAAGCACAGACAGGAATACCTAAGGCCTGCTGTGACCTCATCCAGACCCAACACAGCTTCCATCCCACAGCTCCGATCTTCCCCACAATACAAGAAACAGGGGAAAGAGCAGCCCTACTGAGCAACAGGCAACATTTGAAGTGTGTGTATCTCCTTAAATACTGCTGCACTCCACTAGAGCTTGGTGTCATTACCAAAACTCAGGCAAGTCATGTTGCATTAATAAACAGACAGAACTCAGTTTCCTCAAGCAGAAAAAAACAATTCTTTATTAACATAATTCATTTTTATACAGTTTTCACAGACCTTGTGTTCAACTCCAATTGGCTACTAGTTTTCTTGCCACTCAATTAATTGGTTAGTAACTTGCATTTTTCCTTTCCATCAAATCTCTTTATTCTTGGATTGTTGATGTATTTTCTTCACTGATTCTCATGGGACAGATCTATTGTTTATGCAGGTGCAAACTTATTTTTTTTATTAAAATAGGTTGTTGTGTTAACAGTCTTCATTCTTATGACTTTTCCTTATGGGAACTTACAAGCTACTGCTAGCTTAACTAGAGCAGCAGGGCCTAAACCATATTTAATAAGACCTTTCTTTTATAATATTTCTACCGGCCTGCAATAAGTCACATCAACTTTTTGTTTGTTTTTGAACAAACAGCACCTCATTGGGCATCAGTCCATAGATGTGCTGCTAGAATCCCCACGTGGAATGATCTCAAATGCTTTGAATGTCCACCTTCACTCACCATTGCTCCAAAGGCAGAGTGATAAATTTCTGTGAACCAAGAAAACTGCAACTATTGCAAGTGTAGCAGTGGATGGCCTTCCTCGGCCATGGTGGGCAGTGTGATATTAGGTCAAAGTTTTTCATGTGAGTCAAGCCATGACAGCCAAGCTCTGCTGGGTATTAACTCTTACAAAGCCTGAAACTAGGAATTAAAACCAGAAGCAAACTCTTCTGCTACAGGCAGTGTTACTGGCAGTTGCTGGCAGCGCTGAAGCTTGATCTCCACTGCCCTAATGCAGGATTAAAACGGCACACACAACTCTGTTGGTGCTAAAGTGGCAAAGAAAACGATCAGGAATTATTCAATGTGGAAAAAGATGTGTCCACCAAATGGGAATTTGGCAGTTCTCTCAGCTTTCATCTCCTAAATAAATGACAGGCTATGTCAGAGCACAAGGACAGTGACATGAAGGGACGCGGCTCCCTCTGCTGGGCATTCCTGCAGAATTGAGGCACATCCCTGCAGAGCAGTGCAGTTTCACCTCCTCATTCATCACGAGGCGTGTTTTAAGGAAGAAAACACTTCCATAGCAAGATAAATACCTGGAGACTGCTATTGCTGCCAGGTTTTCATGCTGGATGAGCTCTTTCGTGGGATGTATGCCATTTGGCCAATATTGTTGCAGCCCATTTTGCTTCAGAAAACTACAAAAATGTCAATTGTTGCTCCACGCAAAGACATGGAGGGAGAGGATCCAGCCACACCATACCCAGTTCCACACAGAAACATTTCAAATGCATCACTTGAGTTTGTTGGCCTTACTAGAGTTAAGCTTACTCCTCTAAACAGCCAGAAACATGCAAAAAAAAATAGCCAAAGGGACTTTTTCAAAATGACACATATACCCCAGAAAGCTTCCTTATATAATCAATTGTATCACAGATGATGATGCATTGGGTTTACAAGGAAAGGTTTTGGTAGCAAGGGGGCTGCAGGGCTGCCTGATGTGAGAAGATCCAGAATCTGCCCCTGTGGCGGCAGTAGCCAGTTCCAGATGACTCCAAGATGACCCTGCTGCTGATTAAAGCTGACCCCACTGGTAATATTGGTAGTGCCCCTGTGATTCAGAAACACTGTGCAGCAGCAGCTGTGAGAGAGGGAGAATACGTGAGAGAAATCCCCTGCAGAGTCCACAGTCAGGGAAGATGGAGGGGAAGGAAGAGCTGCAGGCAGTGGAGCAGAGATTCCCATGCAGCCTGGGATGATGCATGTTGTCCCTGTGCAGGTACACAATGGAGCAAGATGTGAGGCAGAGAAAGAAGCACTAGAAGGGAAGGAGACAAGCTGATCTTCTTTTCCATGAGTCAACAGACAAAGTTAGTTAATGAAATGAAAGGCAGTCACTCATCCAAAGGAGGGAACTGCTTAACAAGAGAGGAGTTGCCAAAGGGAAGAGGGAGTCCATAATGAAATTATTTTTCTACCCTGTGTGTTAGGCTTGCAAAAGTACTTCATTTTTTTCAGAGAAAGTATGAGAAGTATATTCTCTCCTTCTTCAGAGGCTGCCACAAGGCAAAGCGAGCACAGGAGAGGAAGTGGTTTGTGCATAATGGCTATTGCTGCACACAGGGTTGTCTTTCTAGGAACACCTGGAGCATGATGTTCTGGACGTGTCATTCCTTACTTGGCCAAGGCACAGTAGGTAGGCAATTCTTAGAAAAGCAGCTTGCCAAAGCCGCAAGTTGCTCCTCCCAGCTCCTGCAGTTTTGTTATTGATAAGCAATGTCTGGCTCTGCAGGCACAGCGAAGCCACAGTCTCAGGGCTGGCACAGGTCTAATATTGAAACACTTCATTTTGGTGCCTCACTTCTTCAATGCTGTGGAAAGCCAGCCTTCCTCTGCTCTGGGCCCAGGATGTGGACCAGCAAGTGGAAACATTAGCGATAGAGGTAAGGAAGTGTCAGCGTGCATCTCAGGTTTCTGAACAACACAGTATCCATAGGAAGCTGGTTTTGTGGGGAAGTGGGAGTGTGAACTGAAGGAAGACATGATGCCAGTTCATTCTGCCATTATGAACTGACCCTTCCCACTGCCTACGTCTGACAAAGCGTGCTGGGGGCACAGTTGCTGGATACAGCACAGAGTGCTGGAATATAGAATACAGTTGGTGGAACTGAGTAAATTCTGCTGATCCCAACTTCAGGCCATGGAACTGTTGGAGAAAGTCCAGAGGAGGCCACAAAGTTCCAGAGGACTGGAGCACCTGAAGACAGGCTGAGAGCACTGGGGCTGTCCAGCTTGGAGAAGAAAGGTTGTGTGGAGATCCCATAGAAGCCTTCTAGTATATGGAGGGGACCTACAGGGAAGCCAGAGAGGGACTCTTCATTGGGAACTGCACTGATAGGACAGGGAGTAGTGGGCATAAATTGAAAGACAGGAAATTTAGCTTAGATATTAGGAAGAATTTTTTTTTTTCTGTGAGGGTGGTTAGACACTGGAACAGGTTGTCCAGAGAAGCTGTCGATGCCCCACAGCTGGCAATGTTCAAAGCCACACTGGATGGAGCCTTGAGCAATGTGGTCCAGCGGGAGGCGTCCCTTCCCGTAGCACGGGGGCTGCAGCTAGATGAATCTCAAAGATCCACTTCAGCCCCTTACCGTTCTACGATTCTGTATAGAACGTCCAAAAGCCGTGACAAACACGCGACCCGGGGGCAGAGGCCGCTGGAGAGGAGCGGGCTGGGGGTGGGGAGCCGCCGCTCGCCACAGGCCGCGGCGAAGCGAGACGGCGGCGGGCGGAGGGCTACGGGAGCCGCCTGCGCCGGGCGGGGCGGGGCTGCGGGCGGGGCTGGCTCGGGGCCGGGCGGGGCTCCGGGCGGGCGAGCGGGGCTCCCGGCGGGGCGGGGCTCCCGGCGGGGCTGGCTCGGGGCCGGGCGGGGCTCCCGGCGGGGCGGGGCTCCCGGCGGGGCGGGGCTCCCGGCGGGGCGGGGCTCCCGGCGGGGCGGGGCTCCCGGCGGGGCGGGGCTCCCGGCGGGGCGGGGCTCCCGGCGGGGCGGGGCTCCCGGCGGGGCGGGGCTCCCGGCGGGGCGGGGCTCCCGGCGGGGCGGGGCTCCGGGCGGGCGGGGCTGCGGGCCGGGCCTCGCCGCCGGCCGGCGCGCTCCGGGGCGGCGGGCGGCGTTGGGATGCCGGGCCGTGAGGCGGAGGTACGGCCGCGCCGGACTGGGCCGGGGCGCTGCGCCCGGGCCCTCCTCGCTGCTCTGCCGGGAGCGACCGGGGCGAGGGGGGCTCGCTGCGCTGCTGCGTCGTGTTCCGCGGCCTCGGGCGGCGGGGGCACGGGGCACGGGCCCGGCCCCGTGACGGTGGGTCCGGGCATTGCTGGCTCGGAGTGTGCCCCTCACTGCTTCTGATCTGTCCGTGCTTTCTAGTCTGTTGTGATTCTGCTGCGCCGAGGGGCACAGACACTCCTTCTTGATTAGCGAACACCGTTATAGGTTTATAATAACACAAACCCTCTCTAAACACCTAAAAACCTTCACCCTGCCGTGGGCTTTGTGCCTCCTGCCGTGTTGTTTCCCGAGAGGCGCCGGGCGGCCGCAGCCGCTGTGGGCAGCAGAGGCAGCCTCGGCTGAGCAGGCCTGCGGTGCTTTGGGGCGCGGCAGGGGCTGGGCAGGGCTGCCCGCCAGCGCCCGTGGCAGCGGGGAGACCCTGGTGAGCGGGTGGGACGGAAGGGTTGGAGGTGCTGCCAGCAGAGGTGGGTGGGACTGCGGCAAAGGTACAGGTAAGTAGTGAGAAGGGGAACACCTATTTCCCTTGGCGTGGCATAGGGTAACCAAATGGCAAAGGTACAGGTAAGTAGTGAGAAGGGGAACACCTATTTCCCTTGGCGTGGCATAGGGTAACCAAATGGCTACTAGTACATTTGATGTTCAGAAAACTCTTACCAACCACCGAATTTAAAGGCGATTCTGAACTACCTCCCAGAAAAAGCAGAAAACCCAAAAAACACAAATAAAACTTGATTAGCCTCAGAAACAGCCTGGAAAATTTTCCTAAGCAGTACCCTAAGCAGCTGTCCTTAACATCTGGGGTCAGCACGCCTTCCTTCCAATAGCATGTGACGTGTCAGCTGAAATATTTCCTCTTGTGCATTTTTAATTAAATGGCCATTTAAAGTTCTGTTCTTTCTCTTCCAGATGCATCCAGTCCTAAAGGCCTTTGTGTGTGGCTCCATCAGTGGCACTTGTTCCACGCTCCTCTTCCAACCCCTTGACCTGCTGAAAACCCGCCTGCAAACTCTGCATCCTGCTGTGAATGGGTGAGAGGAGGGGGCTGTGTCTGCCTGGGGGTCCTGGAGGTGCTCTGCCTAGGCTTCTGCCCCATTTTCTGCCTGGGGCTTGGAGTTCAGAGCTGTAATTTGGGAAATCAGTCTTTTTAAAAGAGGAGGTATGTTTTTATATTATGGAGAAGGATTGTTATTTTGCTCCAGAAGAAAAAAAATGCCTGTGAGTGGTTGTGAATGCCATCAGAATAACTTGTAACCTCAACATTTGTTCTCATCTGAGATACTGGTGTTTGCTGGAGTGGCTACCATGCAGTTTCATGGGATATCCTCTGCCTGAAAAAAATCTTGTATAGTTGTCAGATAATTTTTCATGGGTGCAGCTTGGTGTAGTCAACCAACAATCTGCTGCTGCTAACAAAGAGAGTGAGCGACTAAAAATGCTAATGGGTGTTACAAGTTGTGTGAGATACAGAAGGTCATAGAGAAGCCCTGGAAAGAGCAACCAAGAAAAGCAGACTGAGATGAGGAAGAGCACCTTAGAGATGTTCCTTGGAGTTCATGCACCTTGGAGTTCATGCACAGAGATATGAATGAAAGGGGTGGCTGTGGAGTACACCTGCCAAGGAACAGAAGCAGGTAATTTCTTCAGTTCCTGTCTTGTCTTTCTTTCAGGTCTGGTCGTGCTGGGATGGTGACACTGCTCTTTAGGGTTGTTCGTACTGAGAGTATTCTGGGGCTCTGGAAAGGTGTCTCTCCAGTAAGTGTCTGGTTTAATTCTGACTTGTAAAAATAAATAAATAAATAACCTTACTGTTTATTGCTAATTATGTCTGCCTGAATTTAAATAGCCAACTCTTGTACAATTATGAGTGAACCAACATGATTTAGATTACATCCTATTTTAAGGATGAATTCAATTGAATTTCACTGATTTGATTATGGCAGTCCTGAGCAGCTGAACACTTGAATACTTTTGCAAATGTGGTGTGGCAACTGCAGGAAGTTCATTTTGGTTTGGGATATCCTGTTCCTAGAAAATTGACATTGAGGAATGCAGTAAATCCTGGTATAATTTGAATAATTTGTCTGTCAGTGCCATAAAAGATTTCTACCTTATCTTCTTTCCTCAGCATGTTAACTTCTACAAAGCTTCCTATCAAGCTCAACAGTTTCAGAAATATTTTGTAGTATATTTTGTCTTATGTAAGCTTTTTTTCCCTTCATCTGCATCTGTTTCTCCTGAAGTCCTTTGCAAGATGCATTCCTGGAGTTGGGATTTACTTCAGCACATTGTACATGATGAAGCAAAAGTTTCTTGTGGACCGTTCACCCACAGCCCTGGAGTCTGTCTTCCTGGGTGCCGCTGCTCGTGCAGTTTCTGTGATTTGCATGTTGCCAGTGACTGTAGTGAAGACCCGATACGAGGTATGAGTTTCCAATTAGTCCCCTGTTAATGGTGTCACACACCTTCCTTGTGATGCAAAATAAATCCTTCTGCCTGGAGAAGGTTGCTGCCACTTGAGTACCACCAGGAATGTAGTCCTGATTTCACCTCAATTCACGCATTGTGCAGGAAATGAAATTTTGGCAAGAAGATGAAATAGAATTCACCTTAAGATTTGTAAGTTTCAATTGTATACAATGTTTGTGTACCATCTTTCATATGTTACCTTCCTGAAGGATTATTTTAAAGGCTGAGGTAGGTGAAACCCAATTTTTGCCTTGGGTTGTCCTCTGAGTTGCCATCTTGGGCATCATATTAAGTTCACACTACCATTTGTTGGGATATTATATCCTCAGGGTACATGTAGGGCTCCTCAATGTGTGTCAGGCACGTGGATGACTGACCTTTGTCTGCTCTTGCAGAGTGGAAGATTTGGCTATGGGAGTGTGTATGGAGCCCTGAAGAGTATCTATCAGACCGAGGGGGCTCGTGGCATGTTCAGTGGGCTCACAGCAACGCTGCTGCGGGATGCACCCTTCTCTGGCATCTACCTGATGTTCTACACACAGACCAAAAAGCTCACACCTCAGGGTGAGGCTGAATGTTGCATGCTGGGTGGAAAATGTTCCTCTTCTTAGATCCTGCCCTGCAGCTGACAACCAGCATGCTCTGCTTGTTGCCCTCCACCTCGGAAGTTAAATTAGTCTCCTGTAGGGCTTTGGGTCACTCACTCACATTTGCCTGTGGAGAACTGTAGACCAATAGCTGAGGTCAGTGCAGAAATGGAGACTGGCCCTAAATTGATTGATTGTCTTCATGAAGACTGATGCATAACCGGGTTATGTAACAGTTGAAAGACAGGGTGTCTTAAGCAATGCTTGCTTCTTCTGCTTGTCTTGCATACTGCTCAGTTTCCACTAAACTGGGGCTTCTCTGATATTTGAACTCACTGGGACAACTCTTGTACAATTTTTCCTTTTCTGATTTTCTGTCAAATTAAGTTTCCCAGCAAGTGAGACTTTTCAATAGTGCCAACTTTTGACTAGTAGCCACTTTTGCCCTTGAAAATTGGTTTCTCTAGCTGCACGGATTTTAACTTTTCTTAGGCTCTGATGTTGAGTTAATCATTCAAAAGCTTTCACTTTGTCATGTAGCATAAGAGTACCTGTCCTGAATGGTGTCTGAGTGTGTTCCCTTTGCTCTGTTGCAGACCAGATGGATCCAGTACTTGTGCCCTTGCTGAATTTTGGCTGTGGGATCTTTGCAGGGATCTTGGCCTCTTTGGCAACGCAGCCTGCTGATGTCGTCAAAACACACATGCAGCTGTCACCCCAAAAGTACCACAGGACAAGCCAGGCCATTGCCTTTATCTACAAGGTGAGGTGAATCCCTTTTGACATGCACAACCACATCCTTAGTTCTGATTCCTTTGCTCAAAACTCAGCTTTGCTGGGGAAGTTGTTGCCTTTTAAAGGAGGTGGACAAGTGTCAGTGTTTCATCTGCTCTTGCAGTTGGACAATTCACTGTCAGCATTTTCAGGATGATGAAGGGGGTCATGCTGTGGTAGACCAAGTGTGCAGTGTGAAATGCTGGTTTCAGATACAAAACAGCTATAAAATAATTGTTTGCACTCTAGACATCAGAAGAGAAATAAATGTCCAGGTCCTAAGTGCAGGAATGGGATGGAGAAGTAGTCAAAGCCCACCTTTCCCTTCCTGCAGTCAGAAGGGCAGATCTTGGAAGATTCACTCTGTTTCCATATTGGACTCTATTCCTAAGAAATAATCTGTTTATTTGTGTATGCATTTTTATGTACCTCTTTTTCCTCAAATCATGTTTTTTGCTTCAATACTTAGAAATCTCAGAATAGCTGAGAGACATTTGTAAATATGAAGCTCCAAAAGAAAGACTAGCCATTTTCCTGTAGTGTCTGGAAATGATCACACCCTTGCCTTTTCTTTGTTGGACTTGAGTCTGGCTATCCCCATCTGTTGTCTCCATCTTGGCCTTCCTTTTTTCCGCTCCCTGCTCTTCCTGCTTTTCTGGGTAGTCCTGCAATAGTACAATGCTAGTACAGGTTCTTCCTAAACACTATTTAAGCCGAAGTCTTTCAGAGACTGATCCAGGTCTGGGGTGAAATACATCCTTGTGCTCTTCCATGTAATATACGATGAGAAATTAAAACCCTTTAGGCAGATTGGGATGAATTGCTGTTTATCTCCTGTTACAGGACTTCGGGCTGGTTGGCTTTTTCCGAGGTGGTGTGCCCCGAGTTCTCAGGCGCGCTCTCATGGCAGCAATGGCATGGACGGTGTATGAACAGATGATGGAAAAAATGGGCTTGAAATCCTGACTGAGTTCCACAAGAAAGGACCAACTTCACTCCTTCTCCTGCTTGTGATCAGCTGGCACTGAGAAGTTCTCAGTTCCACAGAGGAATAAGCCTTCCCCAGCCTGGAGGAAAAAAGCCCTTCTGAGACCGGGGATTAGGCCTTTTGGCAAGTAGAGGAAAGGAAGGATTGGATCTTTACATTGTTTGATCAATGCATTCCAGAAGGACTGCACTTGGAGACTGCCATGGGAAATGACAGGGTTTTCACAGCCTGGTCACTATGCTGAGAAGCCCCTTTTAAAAATAACTCTGTGCTCACCACCTTCATGCAATGAGGCAGTATTAGAGCAAAAGTTTTTGAGGAGAAAACAGTGATGGCAGAACCTGCTAGCCTGTTCCTTGTGGGCATAACCAGAAAGGCCACAGTGACCACCATCTGATGTAAATCCTTCTTCTTCATATGCTTTATTCACACAGGGGAACACTAGGCCCTGGTGGGAAACTGGATGTGTCTCGTGATACTTACATTGCAGGAGTGGGTGAAAGAGAAATGAAGTGCAGGGGAAAAGCTACAAGCATGGTCTCTGTCATCACTTTTGTACTGTGGGTGATCGCAGAGAAAGTAACTGGAACCTCCTTGCTGTGTTATGTGTTATTATGTTATTGAGCACCTTAACACTCTTGAAATGTTCTGCCTCTACAGCAGGGTTTGCACAGGAATTAAGAAGCATAAGGCACTTTAGAATTGATTGCTGCCAAAGTTCTACTTGTTCTCTTAAAAAAAAAAAAAGCTGCTGGTCTAACTACAGCAGGAGCACTCAAGTGGGTTTTGTTGGGGTTTTTTATGCAGTTGTCATAGAGACTTACTTGCTTCCTATTCTTTATTTGTTAATCACTGATCAATACCGTCAGTGTGAACTGATCCTTAGAAGTAGCTTTTAGAGCCATGACTAATAATGCATATATGTATAATGGAAACAGATACAGATGCTGGCACTTCAAATTTTCCTTAAAACATTGCTGATTGCATGTGGAGTATGTTTTGGTTTGGAAAGAAAAAGTTGCTATTTCTGTAAGCTTGCTCCAAAGTTTGAGCCCTGTGGGTACTTGGTAGTGACCTATAATTCCCTTAGGGCTCCACACAGACTCTTCTCATCTTCCTGGCTGATCCTTTTCTCTTATGAGGTAGTCCATATTCGACTATGAATATGGACTGAGTTTAAATACACTTTTCATCCTCTGTGCCTTCTTACTCTTTTTTACTGTGTTACTCAGACCTCACAGTTTGTGCCAGGTGCAGCTTGATTCCCCCCTTCACTTGTGCCACTGTGATGGATTGGATCCCTTGCAGCTCTGTTAGCATGGGCGTGAAGCTGGCGTGGAAGTGTGCATCATGTTCTTTAGTGTGCCTTGCAGAAGACTTAGCTTTGGCTTTTATTTTCTTAAATATCTAGGCATATTGCAATTCTAGAACCAGAGCACCTGTCTCTAAACATGAAGAGATGACACTGTAGCTGTATGAACAACCAGTGCTGTTGTTCATAAATTTTAGAGTGTATTTTGGGCAATCACTGCCTGCCCAGGCAGCTTCCCGAGCGCAAGAACAGAGGGGATGTGGATTGTTAAAGTGCTGCCTGTTTTCAGACTCAGCCCATCTGCGAGGGGAGGTTGGTGCTCTCCAGTGCAGGAGTCTCCAAAATTGGTGGTGGAGGATTCTGTGTGCACATGTCTACGTGTTAGCAACAAAGCACTGCATCAAATCAGGCATGTGGCACATTATTTGCTAAATCCTAAATGTGAACACCTGTTCCTTTCTTTTGCTGTTCCTTCTGCCCTTAGTGACCAGAACTTGTGAGAGTGCCTGAAACCATGGTAACTGCACATCCTGCTTGTTTGCCATCCTGAGCATTACTGACACAGAGCTGGAGAACCAAGTCTAGGACTGATGACCTGGCAGAATAAGGTGGCAATTAGATGAGTTACTTCATTTGTCCTTTATTCCCCTGTATATACACCAACATTGTGCTGGGAGCCTGAATTAACTTGATGCTTTATGAATCTGGCATGTGAGTTGGATCTGTTGATCATCCTGGGCTGTGGTAGCCAAGGGCAGTGTGTGGGGTCACCTGCAAGGTGCTTCTCACATATTTTGTTCCTGGTTTAGCAATGGCAAACTTGTTTAGCAATGTGCAACTCATGCAGACAGAAACTTAAGCTCTTAAAATGAGGCAGGCAAACAAAGAATGTGAGGTAATCTGGAATTAAGTAAGGTCCTCATCAGAAACCTGAATTTCAAGAACACTTTGGTGGCCTTTATGTCCCTGTACTCCTGCTTGGTCAAGTAACAAAGGAAGAAGTAGAGAGTTTATTCCCATTTGTTAATGTTTCAAGTTCTGCTGTGGGATTTTTTTGCTTTAAATCGGGAATCAGGCCTAAAGCAGTGTTATCTTTTACTTTAGGAAAGCTTTTCCATTCTGCTTTGGTGCTTTGTTATTGGAGTAGAATGAAAAGCTATATGATTTTTGGCTTGTGGATTAACCTGGGCTCCTCCGAGTTTAATAAACAGAGAATCTAAATTGCACTGTGTTTCATCTACCATTGGTGCTGCAAATCCAAAAGCGTATCTACCTGTAAGTTGGAGAGAATGAATTCTCTAGTGCAAGCTTTTTGTTTTTTTCTTTGTTACTTCTTTTGTTGGATGTCATATATGGGGGAAGGGAAAGTCTGAAGTTCTGCTTCGCTCTGTTCTGAAAGCTTTATCCCATGGTCAGGCATAAGACTGTTTCTCAGCTCTGGTCCTTACTGTCCTTCACCCTTTTCTCCTCTTCAAAAACATTCTGTTCCTGAAGTGATTTATTAAAGTTACTCCTTGATAGCTGTAGCAAGTCAAGACAATCAAGTGCATGGACTTGAAGTTTATGTGTATTCCCCTTGAGGTTTAATGCTTCTACATAACAACAAATTGTCACTGTACAGCCTAAAGGTAAAGTAAATCAAATAAAAGATCTGGACAGAGGTGCTTAATCACCTGCCTGCATCATGCCAGCAATTCAACACTAGCAATCTTGTCAGATAATCATTTCCAAAGCCATCTTGGCTTGGATTCTGGAGACAGTGGTGTGCTCCCTCTGCACTTCAGGATCTCAGGACTTCAAGTCCCTCTTAGACTGACCTCTGTTGCTGGCAGTGCACTGGTAGTGATTGTGCGCTGTCTCTGCTTGCCCCTGCAGCTGTGGCTAAGAACACAGCTGGCTGCCATGTTGAGGCAGGCAGTGTTTAAGTGAGTTGTAAGGACACAAGAGAAATAGTCTGATTATTCATGCTTTAGAAACTATGTTTTCACTATGTTTTCACTATGTGATTCACTGTGTGATGATTTGTTTGGGTTTTTGTTTGTTTTTGTTTTTTTTTTCCTCCAAGTCTCTTAAACAGAACTGGAGCTTTGGAACATTGCATAGCTTTGAGTATTGTGAATGCTTCTGTGTCTGTATAAAATATTTATGTGAAAAGGTGTATTATATGTTTCTATTAAAAACTGGTTGCTAAAATTAAGAATGTAATCTCTTCAGTGTGCTTTTTTTTTTTTTTTTTGAACACACATAGACAAGCCCCAGACTGATTAAATGCACAAGGGATTGGATGGAGTAGAGGCTTAAGAAGGCAAGAGGAGTTTCCCAAGAAGACTGTTGGATGTGTTCAGAGCCCATAAAAGGCAAGGAATATTCTCTTTTTGTGTGGTGTATAATATGCACAGGTTGTGCTAGTACAAAATCAACTTTGCTTAATGGAAAAACCAGACAGCACTGGGGAATGTTGTGTTTTACTCAGCTTCCTCTGCCTGCCTGCTGTGTGCAAAGACAGATGGCTGTTGAATCCCTGTACTAGCTGGTGAAATACCTGCCTTCAGGACAGTGGCGTTTTAAACTCTCTGGGGAGAAACTGTTTTTAGTCTCCTGCTGATCAGGTTTTTGCTACGCAGGCAATCTGATCTCAGCAGGGGGCCAGAAATTGTGCCTGGGACACAATTGTCTCCTGCAAGGCATAATGCAAGGGAATGCTGGATTGCTGGTATCTTCTCTTGCTGTCACAGTATGGTCCTGGGATTCAGTAGCAGGCAGATTGTGTTCAGCAAAATGTTGATACTGAGATGTGCATCTTCCAGATGTGAAGATCCCAAGCCTTTTTTCTTGCTTACATAATACATTCTTACATGGAGCAATTTTCATGGAGGGTTATGTGTGTGTAAGAGACCTACCAGACAGTACTGAGGTGCAGCCTTGTGCCAGCTGAACCTGAATTGCTTGTGCAGGTTCCTGGTAGCAAGTTAGGCCTGGGATAGTGCCTGGTCCTGCACACAGGGCTCTGCAGAGCTCTCCTGCTGCCTTGCAAAACCACCTCCTCTGTAGTGGGTGTTGCCATCCATGCTGCTGACAGCTGCCCCAGCTGTGAGGAGATAGCAGACAAGCTCCCTAACCCTTCTGGATGGTAGAAGGTGGGGAAGATTGAAAGTTTAAAGGCGCTGTGGTTGTAACAAAACATTGAGTTACAGATCTCCCTTCCTCATTAAAAATGGGCAAACGCTTTGCTTGCTTTTTTAATTTTAATGAGTTTTGTGCCACACATAATCAGTGACGCCAGAATTGAGCAGAAAAGATTCCTCATCCCACACAGGCGCATATATATGTGTACTCTTGTGAACTCCATGTGGGTTTATTGAATATGCTTATCCCTTCTGGCTTTGGTGTTTATTTCAAAATAGCAGGCTGATTTTCTGCATTTGCAGTTTCTTAATTTGTGATTTTATCACCATAAAATGTTTTAGGAGTTTTTATCATAATGCATTAAGGAGTTTTAGTAAAAAGGACAAAATCCCAGTAAGAGGTTAAAATGAGACCTCTGCAAGTTTTGTAGCAGGTATTAAGCAATTCTAACTTTGTACAACTAGAAATAAATTTGCCAAAATATGTTTTCCCAAAACATGTAAGAAGTAATAACAAGCCTTTGAAACACAAGCCAAAATGGAATTTACAAGGAAAGCACAGTAACATTAGTGCAGTTTCACTGAAAGTGGGTTATCTTCATAGTTCTTCTTTGCCTTCTCCAGGGGTGCCACACCATCTCTTGGGTGACACCCACTGTCATGTTTGGTGGGGAAGATATTGCCTGAAAGGCTTTCTGCCTGAGCCTCTTGCCCAGGCACACAACCCAACCCCCTCATGGCAGGAGCTGTTCTGGCAGCACAGAACACCTCCTCTGCAGCCCTGTGAGGAACCCTCTCTCCCAGCACTGGGTCCTGGTACAGCCCCCTGCTCAGAGGCTTCTGGCCAGGGCTGCTGCTCTGCTGCAGCCTGGGCTGGCTCTCTGGGAGATATTCTTTCTGGGGCTTTGTGACCATCCCAGGCACCAACTTGAGGTCCTCAGTGTAGCACCCAAAGGCTGGCGGTAGCTCTGTGATGCTTCTCTCTGAACGTGTGGGCTCTGAGTCTCCCTGGCACTTCAGGAGGACCAGTGCCTCAAATCTGCCTTTCCTGGCTTTGCTGCTGCAGAGCAAGGCTATTCCCAGGGGCTGCCAGCAGCTTGCATGTAACTGTGTAACAGAGTTCAGTGTGAACTTTAGACCAGGGAAACCTTGTGTAAAACGTGATAAGATAGATACACTTTCACTTGAGGGACACGTCCATTAGTAACAGATCTACTTTAAATTGTCATGTTATACAGATAAAAAAAAAAAGCAAGCTTTCAGGTTATTTAAGGAAATAATTAGAAATACTTTATTGTCAAGCTTCATCACCACTTTTCCAAGCCCTCTCATGGGCTGTGGGTTTCATGGTCTGCCAGAAAGGGCCCATAAGTGTAACAATAAAAAGTAAATGAAGTATTAGTGATGCTAGAGTCTAAAACACTTACCAGTGGCAGTCTTTTGATAACATCATACTTACTGCAATATTCAATACTTAATTTCCAATCATTATGTTCAAACACATTTTTAATACAGATGGGTTTCAATTGTGACGAAGAGCTCTCTAGGCGAAATCTATTACCCACATCATGATGACATCACCACCACCTCTCCTCTTCCTTCCCAAGATAGTATTCATCCTGCTCCTGTCTCCTTAGGAGGGACACAGTTTGTACACAGCCCCATCAGGTCAGCTCTCACTATCCACAGTGCACTTATCAAAGTGCCACAGGCGTCTCTAATCTCTCAGGCAATAATAGTTCACACTCTGGCCGAGGGCTCACTAACCTGTTGCTGAGTTTCATTTTACATACTTTGTCACCACCGTGTGGCAAATGTTTGACTTACTCTCTTACAGCATATTCTAAAGCTGATTACTGGTAATCTCGCTAATTAACACCATCTAATAAGCACGAAGAAAAGGATAGAGAGCCATTTTCCAGGAGATAAAGAACACACATGAGACGATGTAACCTGCTACTTGAGCAATTCTTCCTCAGAGTAACTCAGGGCTCAGGCATCAAAAAGGAGAGTCCAGGCCCAGTCACTCTGATGTGGTTATATGAGGTTAAAATAGAAGGGAGAAAATTAAAGAAACACTGTTGTTAGAAAAATGTGAAGATTAATTATCACTTGCAGAAGGCATTTGCAATAGTATTTGCACAGTCCAGAAATCTGTCCAGAATGTATCCACATCTTGACGATAGGAAACATAGTAAAGTATCACTTTTTTCTTTTTTTCCAAGAAATTTCTTTGTCAGGTCTGTGTCTGAGAACAGGACAAGGAAGATAGTGAAGATTTTTAATCTTATCACTTTCTGTGGTTTTTTAAAAACAAGCAACAGCAAAAAAATCCAAAATCCAACAACACACACAAACCTGGGCAACTACCACAAAAAATGTCTACTGCAGAATGAGGATGTGTAAGTTCAGTGTCAAGTTCACCTGTTTTTACTGTCATTTCTGCAAAGGACAGGAACAGCCTTGGCTGCCCAAGCTCTCCTGTGTGGTGCCAGAGCAGTGCCTCTGCAGGGAGGAGCAATGTGGGTGCAGGGAAGATGCTGCAGCTCCTTAGAAGCTTCCCCCCACAGCAGGCAATTTAGAGCCTAGATATAATTAATCAAATAATCACCAGCCCTCTGAGAGCATTTACTTCACTTTCAGCACGAAAATGGAGCTAGCTGTAAAATGTTTAAAATAAATCTTTGCTTTCTATTCACTTCAGAACCTCAAAAACAGCCTTGAGATTGCTTGGAGCACAAGCCTCAGGATGCTGTGAAGCAGCACAGACTGACAGAACCACAGAGCCAGTTCAGTTGGAAAAGGCCTCTGAGATCGTGGAGTCCAAGCCATGACCAAACACCACCCTGTCAACCAGACCTTGGCACTGAGTGCTTCGTCCTTACACACTTCACTGGACGGTGACTCCACCTCTTCCCCGGGCGGCCCATTCCAAAGTCTAAAAACTCCTTCTGTGAAGAAATTCCTCCTAATGTCCAACCTAAATCTCCCCTGGTGAAACCTAAGTACTCCTGTCCTGTCGCTGGTTGCCAGGGTCGAGATGCCGGCCCGCACCTGGCTACGCCCTCCTCTCAGGCGGCTGTAGAGAGCGATGAGCT